CTGGATAAGACAAAGAAGCTCAACCTTTGCAGCAGTAGCAGCATTGGAGGGGCAGGCACAGCCAACCACATCCCTTACGCAGTAGGCAAACCCAAATGGCCCCAGCCAATCAGCCAAATGGTAAAATTCCTACCAGGCCCCTGCTCCAAAGCAGACAACCCCATGACAGGCATAGCAAGGTCAGCGCAAACCAACCCTAATTAAAGGGAGGGTGTGGCTGCTGGGGGGGGGAGGGAGCTGTAAGGCTGCACAAACCCCCAAGGGACTAAGGAGGCTTTCCCCAGTTCGAGAATTGCTGCAGCATCTTTTGGGACCCCCAACCCAAACCGTGAGGTGAGGGAGTCCTCCGGGCATTTAGCTGCAAAGAGAGAATACCTTTTTAAAAAGACACCGGCACGTGCCAGGCCTTGCAGGGCCTCCATGCCCTCAGCTTCTACAGCGGCTTCCTGTCCCTCATGGGCCTCACCGTGGACCGCTATGTAGCCATCGTGTGGGCACCCGTCGCCCACCGCCTGCACTCCTCCACCACCTGCTGGGGTCAGCTTTGCTCAGGGCTAGTGTGGCTGTTCTCCATGTCTGGCCTCCCCATTTCTTGTATGCCTGTGTAGAGGACTGATGGGGGCATTTGCCTCTGCAGGGGTGGTGGACGTAACAGCAGCAGTCAGCCTGGCGCAAGTGGCCTTGGGTTTTGCGCTCCCATTCGCAGTCATGGCCGGCCTGCTACACAGCGATCACCTGACTAAGACTAAGGACTCTTGCCTAGAGGTAATGGGACAGGGAGAAGGAAACACACAGAAGGGCCGTGGGATCGGCCAAAGGGCCCGGTCTGGTGGAGCCTCCTCTTCTCACAGGTGCCACCCAGATGCCACTGGGAAAGCAGCAAATAGGATTCCAACCCAAGAAGCAGTGCATAGCGTCCAGTTCTCCCCTGCTTCAATGATCCTTTCTTTCTTGCAGGATCTCCTGTCTGCCCTGCTGTGGCTGCTGCCCAAGCCACCATGTAAATGGAACAGGTAACAGAGGAAGGGGAAATTGGCATGGGGGCAGGGAGAACACCCTAACAATTTGGAACGACGTGTTCATGGCTGTGGGTGCGTTTCTGGGAAAAAGGGCTGACACTAAATAAGACGGGTTTGGGAACCGCAGCTCTCCTACAGGTGATGCTTGATTACAACTCCCATTGTCCTTGACCATTGTCCTTTTTTCTCTTGCTTTTCAGCTTAAAAGGACAAAAAAAAAACCAGTTCTTGTTCCTTATGGGAGACAGAGAGGCTCGCTTGAAATACGCAAGGTTTCCCAACAGTCAGAGTAAAACAGAATACAACCAAAGCAACGTGAAGCAAAGCGACAGAGACGCCTGATCGTGGGGGCACCCGTCGCCCATCGCCTGCTCTCCTCCGCCACCTGCTGGGGTTGGCTTTGCTCAGGGCTGGTGTGGCTGCTCTCCACGGCTCTGGCACTGTCCCACTTCTTGTACGCCAGCGTTGTGGACTACGGGGGTGTTCACCTCTGCAGGATGGCGGACATCACAGGGGTGTCAGCCTGGTGCAAGTGGCCTTGGGTTTTGTGCTCCCATTCACAGTCATAGCGGCCTGCTACACAGCAATCACCTGTGCTCTCCTGGCCTCCCTGTGTGCCCAGTCTCTCAAGGCCCTGCGCTTGATTTTGGCCCTGGTCTTGGTCTTCCTGGCTTTGCAGTTGCCCTATGCACTGCTTACCTCACTGGACATGACCGCTTTGATGGGACACCAGGCGTTGAGCTGCAAAGTCATCCTCCGCCGGGACTTGGCCTCCTCATCACTAGTGCCTTGCCCTTCTTCTCCCACTTTTCAGCCAAACACCCAGGTGGCCACACTGCAAGTGGACGTTCTGCACCTTCTGAAGTCCATCTGGCAGCCTGCAAGGAGATGTGACGGGCCTGGATGATGACATGGCACAGCTCTTAGGGAAATGCAGTGATGCACAATCTCGCCCTGGCTACCCACAGAATAGAATCCTATTATTATAAATAAAATCCTCATAGATTCTTATTATGTTGGCTCCACAGGCTCTCTTTCCACTTGGTGACCTGTTACTTATTTTAGCACCCTCTTTGGAGGGGTCAGATGAGCTGTTACATCAATACAGGGACTGGCATTACTTAACAGCTGGGGGATAAGCTGGCCGGATAAAAACAATTGATTTTGCTAATTCTGGAGACCGGATTGCCCTGATGGTGACATGGTGCAGCTCTCAGGGAAAAGGCAGCAATGCAAAATCTTGCACTGGCGCTCCCTGGCTACTCATACATGAACTGCATCCAAAAAATTAGCCCATCAGCATTTCTTGAACTAGCAGGGTTTAGTCCCAGAACCTCTTTTGAAATTCTGGCATTCATCCCTGGAACAATAATAAAGAAATGAGCACATCTGAGCATTTACAGAGTATCTTTCCCCAAGAGTTGGGTAAAGATAGGTAGCCATGACCCACCTGAATTTGGAAAGGAAATATTTTATGGGCAGCGGGATGAGTGGAAAAGAATTATTATTACTATTATTATTATTATTATTATTATTATTATTATTATTAGCATCACCCGTCACTGATGCATATGGCCTGGCTCCCTGGCTTGACTTGTCCACAGCTGTTGATAGTTTGGCAGGTCCTCAGCTGTGGTCCCCAAGATTATATTTTCTGTTGTGAATATCTGGTTGAGTACAAGGTTGAACCGTACGGCCTTTCCATGCCTCTCTTCTCTTAACTCTAAGGCTGCGTATACATCACACCTTCAAGTCACGACGTCATTCTATTATAATGGCAACCTACACACTCATTGTTCCTAAACATGTTCTTAAAGGTAAAGGGACCCTGGCAGTTAAGTCCAGTCGGAATGACTCTGGGCTTGTGGCGCTCATCTCGCTTTACTGGCCGAGGGAGCCGACATTTGTCCGCAGACAGTTTTTCCGGGTCATGTGGCCAGCATGACTAAGCCACTTCTGGCGAAACCAGTGCAGCACACGGAAACGCCGTTTACCTTCCCGTTGGAGTGGTACCTATTTATCTACTTGCACTTTGTGCTTTCGAACTGGTAGGTTGGCAGGAGCAGGGACCAAACCATGGGAGCTCACCCCGTCGTGGGGATTCAAACCGCCGACCTTCCAAATGGCAAGCCCTAGGCTCATTTTAAAAAGAATTTCCCAAAGTTTCACGATCTTGCTACTTTGTGGGATGGGTCTGGGGGTACAGCTAAACCTTTAGTCTCAGAGTATATGGCCATAGAATAAATCACAAAATTGTGGAGTTGGAAGCGACCTTGAGGATATCTAGTCCAACCCCCTGCAATGCAGGAATCATTTTGCCCCACATGGGGCTTGAACCCACAACCCGGAGATTAAGAGTCTCTTGCTCTGCTGACTGAGCTATCCAGGATGATTGTTCCGGTAATGCTGAAAATGGAGCTCGGCACATGTCCAGCTAAAATTTGTATTGAATATAATCCAAGGCTGGTATTGATAGACCCCCAACACAAATTCAACCCTGCTTCTTGCCCTTCTATAGCCTTCCAAATGACAAGTATTCATTTAGTTAGTGACAATACACCATAGGATGTAATGCAGATGCTTTCAAAAACTGTATTTTGCTGCCCCCACGTGGCCAGAGCTGGATTCAGCTATTGCCTCCCTTGAATTCAGCTTTCCGAATTGACGCTTCTGAGATTTTGACTCCCTGATCCAAGATGCTATGCTGCTCACCTCAGTGATTTGTTGAAAGCAGGTCGGTGTCCAGCAAGAACGCGGCTTGATAATAACACGTCAGGTCATGCATGTTCTTTTGGCATACGTATAATGCATGTATCCTCTTCAACAATGCATTATCCAGACTCAGGAGGCAACCCAATGGGTCCCAGCACAACTTCCGCAACTGCTTGAGGTCCCTCTTCCATCCGAATCCTTGATCTCTCTTCCCCTCCCTGCTCTCCTGACTTAGCTTTTAGCTCTTGATGTTACTTGGATGTCAAGACGGATGAATGATGCAGCGAGAAAACAAGTAAAAAGGTGGCGCAGAATGCCAGCTGGTGGAGATACAGGTATCTGCCATGGCTGCACCTAACTCACAGCAAATAAGGATTGAATCTGGGCCCTTCTGTCTGCAAGGGAGACACTCTAACACGGAGCCACTTTTAAAGGAGGAACATAGTAGTTAGGATCCCTGTGAAGTGGTGGCATAAGGCATGCCTCTCCTCTATGGCTTCAGTTCCCCCGAAATGTAGGAACTGTCGCCTTCACAATAGGTAAAGGTAAAGGGACCCCTGACCATTAGGTCCAGTCGTGGCCGACTCTGGGGTTGCGGCGCTCATCTCGCTTTATTGGTCAACGGAGCAGGTGTACAGCTTCTGGGTCATGTGGCCAGCATGACTAAGCCGCTTCTGGCGAACCAGAGCAGCGCAAGGAAACACCATTTACCTTCCCACCGGAGTGGTACCTATTTATCTACTTGCACTTTGACGTGCTTTCGAACTGCTAGGTTGGCAGGAGCAGGGACCAAGCAATGGGAGCTCACCCCGTCGCGGGGATTCGAACCACTGACCTTCCGATCGGCAAGTCCTAGGCTCTGTGGTTTAACCCACAGCGAGGGGTGTGTGGGTGTGTAGTTGTTATGAGGCTTCCCTCTAAGTACACTCACACCCTTGATATTATGGCTTAGAACACAATTTGAGAAAACTGCAAGGTTGTTTTTCTTCTTTTTTAAGTGGAGGAATAGGATTTAAAAGAATTTTGAGGAAACTGCTGCTGCCAAAGCCCCCCTCGTGAAAAGAACAGGTAAGAGGAAGGAAAGATTTAAGAAGAGAGCAAAACTGTTAACACACCTGAGCTCACTGGACACATCGCCCAAGGGGAAGTGGGGATGAGCCCCAAAGGTATGGTGGGTACACAGCCTATGGTTTCTTTCTTTCTTTCTTTTTAATTTTATTTTCAATGCATAATTACAATATAAGATTCAAAAATAAAGCATAAATAAGAAAAACCAAAGAAAAAAGAAAAATAAAGAAAAACAATATCTATGACAAAACATACATACATTTTGACTTCCTTCCACCCTTTTCAGACTTCAAATTTCCCATTTATCTTATTTTTTGTGCGATTTTATTTACATATATGTTACTTCTGGTTTTATGCCTTTGTATGTAGTGTATGCCTAACCCTGCAAAGGTCATTCATTACATATCGATATATTTATTCCAGAACCATGTTTTTTATGTACTCTTTAACAGTCCCATTCTTTTATTAATTTTTGATCTGACTGTCCCCTCAAGACTGCCGTTAACCTTGCTGACTCTCCCATTCACATGAGAGCCCATACTGTATCCTGCTTCCTCCACAGGGCCACGCTCCGGGGACGAGGCTCCAGCTCCCAGGATGGAGGGCAAGAGAACATCCTGGCAGTTCCCGGCTGCCAACTAATGCGTCTCTTCCCCACTGCCCCTTCTCTGTGGGGCATGGCTCCTTCCCGGCCCTGTTTGGCGCAGAAGCAGCAGCCAAAGTTTCCTCCCATTAAAACAGCTGCTCAGCTTATTTCTGAGTGACAGGAGACTTCCGCTGCTGCTTCTGAGCTGGGCCGGCCGAGACGGAGCCAAGATGCCCGTACAGAGGCCAAGTGGGAAGAGCTGCTAAGATCAGGTAAGTGGAAATGCTTCCTTCCCAGGTCCTCCACCCTCATGCGCCAGACTGGTGCTAGCATGGCTGGGAGCCAGGCGCTTGCTGATTGCTCTGTTTTCCTTGCAGGGAGGGAGCCTTTCCCCAACATATACTGGCCAAATCCCTGGGGAGATTTGACAGCCCTCAGGTACTGGGGCAGAGGGAACTTAGGGGAAACACCGAACACTCTCCCCACCTATGGCTTCCGTAGTTTTGGGCCCATCTAACCCAGACGTTTGAGACACATCTGGGGACTTGTAGGAGAGCTCTAAGAAGTCTGGAATGAACTCTCTCAAGGGGAGAGAAAGCAGAGGAAGGCGGGCCCAGAAAAGATCCATAAAGGAGCTGTGCAAATGTTTTGGCCTTGTATAATTTTAGAGTCGTGGGGACGAAGAAGCCCCCTTGTGCTCTGAAAAATTTAAGGATACAGTTTGCGTTTTTCCCCACTGAGCTCCCAATGGAGTTTATGTGTCGTTTGTTGGTTCCTGAGGCCTGTGCCACCATTCCTAGATACTTATAGTTTGTGACTTGTTCTAATTTATGGCCTTGGAGTCCCCAGCTCCTAAGCTTTGGTTTCCCCCCAAAAGCGAGTATCTTGGTCTTTTGATAGTTGATTTTGAGACATTCAGATTCACAGTATGCTGCCAGCTTTCTTAGTGCTCTTTTGAGTCCAATGGGGGTTCTAGATAGAATTACTGCATCTGAGCTAGGCCGGCCGGGATGGAGGGAATAATTTGGGAAATAGATAGTTCCATGTTCGGGCTTCAGTTTAGGCATACAGCTGTCCAGGACCACCTAGATCTCAAACAAGGGCGTGTTGTGCTTATTCTTGCCATCTTCTTCTCTATAAATGCTGCCCCCAAACATTAACACCAGAGCTAGGTTGAGAAATCTTATGAAAACTCAAAAGGTGGCAGAAATATACAGTGGTGCCCCGCAAGACGAAAAACTCGCTAGACAAAAGGGTTTTCCGGGCCAAAAGGGTCGTTCCACAAGACGAATTTCCCTATGGGCTTGCTTCGCAAGACGAAACGTCTTGCAAGTTCTTGCAAGTTTGTTTCCTTTTTCTTAAAGCCGCTAATAGCCGCTAATAGCCGTGCTTCGCAAGACGAAAAAAACGCAACACGAAGA